CAGTTGTTTACTTGGAGAATTGTAAGTCCTGTGTCTTGCGCTAACTGTTTCTTCTGCTCTTCGGAAGGGTACGGATGCTAATGAAAAAACAAATGTTTTAAAAGATGTATCAGAAGTTAAGAAAGAGTCACTTACTTCTAAGAATGAAACCACCGTTTGTGATTTCTTTAGTCTATGGTTTGATTTTCCTAATCGAGGCTTTTTTTTTTTTTTAATCATGTGTAGAAAAATATAGGCAGGGACAAGAATCCAGAACCCTGCATTAGCCGCCCCCTTGAGTTCCTGCCACACTTTGGAGGGCTGGCAGCAAAAAGCAAAGTGTTTCAGTTATTCAATTTCTTCAGCCGGTCAAAGCACTTTTGTGATGCTATCAGATTTTTGGTTATCTGCAATCACTTCAGTTACACTAGGAGAACTAGTTTCAGGGCCATTTTACTCTACTGCCTCGAAAACCTATGTGAAGCCCTTATCCTATGTCATCTTTGTGAGATGGCCAAATATAATCATTATTTCCTAGTTAATCTGAGGTTATTGACAGAAGTTTGGAAAGCCAGATAGTAGGTCATCACTACTATTCTTAGAAGCCACAGCAACTGATCCAATTGTAACAGAGTTTACTGACTGTATTTATGTTGACTCCTTTAAAGGACAGTGGGAGATGCACTCATTTTTATGGGTTACTGCTCTGTTAACACAATGGGTCACACACGATGACCACACATCAAAAGGAGTCAATCACGTGCAAGGCTTCACATAGAAATTTTACATTTGACCTTATGGTATGGAAATCAGCAAATGAAGCCATGGGTTTCCATGCTTTTTCATTCTTTACTCCCCATCACAGCTCACCATTTGTACTGAACCACCCTCCCATCATTGACCACTTTCCTCTATCATTCTGAATTCAAGGATTGTTATTTTAGAATCACACACTCATTTCAGAGACACTGTAGTTGCATGTACATAATTATAAAACATGTCTCCAGAGAGGTCCCTGCTCTAAATTCACTGGTCTTCTTAAACAGAAAAAAGTAAACTTTTATCCAGCATGTCAAAGTCATTCATAAACTAGGAAGCCTTTCATATGATTTCCCATCAACATTATTAAACAGTGATGTTAGGAACAACAGAGTATTCCATTCAGAGCATTCTAATCATCCCAGTGTTGGAGAGAATGCGTGTTTTTCAATCATCTAAAATTTTATTCTTCAGGTATTTCATCTTCTATAATAGTGTGCATTATCCAAAATGTGCACAATTACTTATTAGCAAACCCAAATGCCATTAGGTTAAACAAAATCCCCTGTACAGCAAAAGGGGTTAACCAGATTTGTATTAATATAGAAGCCAGGCTTTTAATATTCTGCAAATGTTAACAAAGAAAGATGATAATGTTGAGTTAATATGGGTTAAGCATAAAATGAAAATAAATTTTTCTGATTGCGAGGTGTTGACACTTTTTTGGCTAGGGCCTCCAGCCTGTTCCTGAAAGCTGTGTAATTACAGAAGGCTTTTCCCCTCCTTCCCCCTCCTGCTTCGAGCCTACCCACATTAGTAATGACCCCTTCACTGCTTCAAAAACCACTAATGGTCTTCAGCACGGACAAGAAAAATGAACAGGATAAATTGGAATCCACAGTCAGTAATTTGCATCCTATGAGGCTGCTTTGGCCACTCACACTCATTCCTGGCCATCAATCCTTGCCTGTCAGGTACGGCACTTTGCCGCCACGACAAATACTCCTCCTAACACTCTGATTCGTCCAAACAACGTAATTGTCCTCTATTCTCCTTTTGGTAATGGAGATAATGAATGACTGCCCAAACAAGAAGGATTGCTCATCACAGATGCCTGGGTGGTTTCAAACTGGAAAAGGCCTAGGGTACAAATTTTAATTGACTGAAAACAGTGGTTGGGGGGAAATGACCAAAAACAGTCCGCAGATCCTTCTGGTCATAGTATTTTCTTGCCAAATTCAAGGGAGGAGCACCTTTTGACTTTCTGTCCCTCTTAAGATTTTGAAAGCTGAGGTTTATTAGGTTATTGTCCCTATATGGAAGTGATGGAAGATTGATCGGAAACCGGCAAATAACAAAAAGGAAAACAGGGACCCATGGCAAGAGCGCATTGATATGCATCAGTAACGTCATCCAGTGTGTTTCTTTACGCAGTGTTTTCTGTTTGGTGTGTTCAGTCTTGCTCACTGTTGGATGCACTTGCTCAAGGCAGGTCTAACAAAACATGGGTGGTGTGTGTGTGTGTGTGTGTGTGTGTGAAAAAGAGGGACAGAGGCAGACACACACACACGGAAGGTTTAGATGAAATAAAGGTCTAGGTTGTTAAGGAAGTAGAAGCATAGAAAGCTGATGTGAGTGGAGAGCCAATTCCTTGAAGTAGGACTGTAAATTCTGATCAAATAACAAGAATTCTTTCCAGTGTTTTATTAGAAATTTAGTCAAATGACCACAAAATTACATAAACAGTACATTTTATCTTGGGAATCCCTGAGCCGTACTTTCATTCCACTATGAGAAGCAGTTGCAAATTCCAGCCTCAATCATTAAAAAAATTGGGACCTTACCAAAATTCACCTTGCACAGATGGCTTTTTTTTTAATTAATAGGGAAGACCATAATAACTTTAACTTATTTAAATAATGTTCTGTGGTTTTTGAACATTCGTGATTCTATGCCCCTTTTATACATGGAGTGGACTGGGTATCTGAAAATGTTCTGGCCGTCAGCCACTATATTTCTAAAATTTAAAAAGGGATGGAAAACAATCAGCTTTCAGAGGAACTGGAACCATGGCAATGTGTTTTGGATTAATTTACAAATACATGTATATATTGAAGGCCTAAGTGTAGAACCAGAGAATTTCTACTACATGGTCTATCATACACATTCTTCTACTTTATTAGAACAGACATCATATTGAAATAATAAACATGGGAAGCCTTCACTTCTTCTTTGATGTATATTATTAAATGTCTGACTGGCTCAAATTTAAAATAAACTTTGGTATGTTTGCACCTGAAAACTGGAAGTGGACCACAAGTAATAATTTGTTGTCAGTTTCCATATTCTTGGACTAAAGCTAGAGTTTAGTCTGTTCACTGTTGGGGGCCAACCCACTCTGGTCCAGTGGCCCAGAGGTGGCTCAATTTACTTTTAAGAATGCACACCATAACATAATAGTGACGATGATTCCCTTCATCAAGAAAGAACCAGTGTAGGTCAAAGTTTTTCACATCCCAAAATAGTTCTAAAGCCACTGTTGAACAGAAGTGAGTCACAAGGATCTCCTTACTTTGAATGTCAACTGACAACTCTTCAAAAAGTTAATAAGACATGTATGGCTCACAACCCAGTGTAGATAGAAAATATGTGTAATTGACTTCGTTTTTTCCTAAAGACTCATTTGAAAGTAAGATATTATCTTTCTTCAAGATACTAACCTTAATTAGACTTTCTCCCCCTCTCTTCTTTGGAGGTTAACCTGGTTTATCAAGTACATGGAAATGGATCTACAGTATCCTTGGAATACATCAGTGAAACAGTTTTTGGATGAAACCACTTAATAATAATCTTCTTTTGTGATTAATCCTTCTCCAATAATGTCCAAACTGGAAATGATTCATCATGAATTTTATTCCATGTCGAAAGGATTTGCACTGATGTCTAAGAATACTTCAGGTGATATTTCTAATCATCTCATGAATGAGAAATACAGGATAAATGAAAACGGTAGGATTTGGAAGGGTGAAAAATTATAAATAACTAATCTATCAACTTAATCATAGTTAATAAAATGTGAGGCTCTCATGAAAAAGTTTTTCCCAGATGTTGAGTGAAAAAAAGCAAATTGTAGAACATGTATTGTGAATTTTTGTAAAATAGATAAATAGATTAATTATATATGTATATATCTGTCCCTGTACTGCAAGAAAACATCTGGAAAAACACACACTAATAATGATTTATGTTATTTATGTAGGGTACGGGGTAGAGGCTTTTACTATTTGTTTATAGATACCTATACTGTCTCTGTGTGTACTGCTTCAAACAATGGTTTTAAAGGCTATTAAGTTTTAAATTATAACTAATTTATTGTAATTGCAATTAATTCATACACTTCATATTTTTAAAATACCATAGTAATTTAACATTTTTATAAAGTTAGATATTCTTTTGTTATGGTAATTCTCTGACTGGATAATTTTTAAAAGCAGGATATCTCTAGGACCAGCCCTGCCTCTTAAGTTATTTCCCTACCCAATGAGTTTGAATCACTTACTGGCCTATGAAGCTTACTAGATGGAGCTCTTGAAGAACAATGTCCAATTTGTCAAATGACTTCTGTGATGATGTAATGTAACCATTAAGACAAACAATGGAGTAATTTGTTGGGCAGGGTCTTAGTTTGAGCAAACACTTGGAAACTGATCACTATGGTGACCGCTTCCCTTTCCTCAATCCCCTCCAAGACACTATTTGCTCTGTAGAGTTCATCCAGGTGACTGAGATTTTGATGATGCCACTCATATATGGAAACCTCTAAGCACTTTTCTGGAGGTGGACAATAAAACTGCATTGGGTAGGGTGCCTGGGTAGCTCAGTTGGTTAAGCATCTGCCTTCAACGCAGGTCATGATCCCAGGGTTCTGGGATGGAGTCCCACATCTGGCTCCCTACTCAGCAGGGAGTCTGCTTCTCTCTCCGCCTCTGCCCCTCCCCCCCGCTTGAGTGCTCTCTCTCTCTCAAAATAAATAAACAAAATCTTAAAAAAAATTAAATTAAAAACTGCATTGGGTAAATATCCCTTATTACTCTAGGACTATGCTTACTGAACTGGGGTACATGCAAAGGTGTTAAAAACTTAACCCCTGAATAAATAAATGCATTTTCTGGAATGTCAAAGTTATTCAGTGGCGATTAATTCAACATCTTTTTCTTATGTAAACAAAAATTCCTATGCTATGACTAGAACATGTGCAACAAATAATATTTTCACATAAAACAAGAAACAAGATACTTAAAACCCATCACATCTTCACAGTTGAAGGTAATCTCCTTTC